TGTGTTGCATAGCATGTTGCATAGTATGTTGCATAATGTTGCATCACAATAAACTGTTAAAAATGTGGATGTAGCGTCCTTGACGTCACCCATTGGTTCACACATGACCGTTTTGAGAATAGATTTGCCTTCTATGGAGCATCGCCATTTTTGGAGATTTTTGCAACGAGCAGCGATCCATATTTGGCCGTTGAGGGCAGGACTTGAAAGGCCCCTCACACCAGTCTATGGCCAAAATGCATTAATATTGCAGTCCATCATAACTTTTTCATAAAATAACTTTCAACAAGGACCTCGCTAAATATATAATATGAAACCTAGCCACCTGTGATCCTAACCAAATGTATTGGCTTTATTGGCTTTGTATTATGAGATTACAAGATTACAAGCAATCACATTCCTCCCCTTGACCCCTTGGTGAGGGGACACCTAAAGGCGGTTTGAGGAACTATATGATATTTCCTTCTGCATGAGCCTCAGACACATGGTCATGGCTGCCACTTGTGCAACACCAGCCTGATCTCAAAACAAGCGTCGTACATATGTGTACGAAATGTCAGTGCACGTTGATTCGTAAAAATGTATACGAATTTAACCCTAACCCTAACCCTAACCCTAACAAATCTGCCGGAGAAACCACCTTCGCAAACACAAACCATGATGATTCATGGCTCATGATTTAATTTGACACGAGAAATCTATATATAATTTATCTACGTTTCAAAATTGTAGTCATTCATGAAATGGAAAGTTCACGCACGAAAACCCGCGGCAATCATTTGTGCCGAGGCATTTTATGTTAGGACTAGCTTTGTCTGAGCGTAATAAGATCACAATGTTTGTAGGTTTCAGCTAAATCTCGAGCCACACGACGGTAATCCAATATGGCGGAAAGACCGTGAATAAAGAAGTTGGTTGGGGGGCGTGGTTAACCATACCTTAATTCGTACAGCCTTGTACGAATTAACGGGACACGACTTACCTTAATTCGTACAGACTTGTACGAATTAACGGGACACGACTTTTCGTACATGGTTTTACGACCATGGCTTTGTGATCGCGTTGGCAACACATGTTCCATAGCATAGCATCTTCCATAGCATAACGTATGTAAGGCATAATTACATGGATTTGTATATCTAACATCAAGTTTATTTGACCGCTGTCGTGTTTCTTTCACTTAAATTATTTTATTGTTTTCAAGAAAAACATAACCGGTGAACAGCTAGCGTCGTTATTTTGACGTCACTCCCCATAGTAAATTGACCTACGCCCAATGTGACGTTATTTGCGTAGTCACGTAATGTTACCTGGTTACTTCCTGAAACACTTTCACAAAGTAGGTACCTAAACAAGGAAGCTTCCCAAAAAAGGTATCAAGGTTATAGGAAGCCTTCTCGCAATTGAGACACAGCCATGTGCATGTTCACCTAGCATGTTTCTAATCAGGGATTCAGGATAACGAGTCTGTGCTAGCTGATGTAAACGTGCTGACGTCAACTAGCAGGCTTCTGTGCACTTATTGCATAAGTCGATGTTTATGTTAGCATCTCATGTTGGCATCTGTGTTAGCGAGCATGCATCACTCACGGGTGGTTACTGTTCGCCATGGGAACAAAACACACACACACACACACACACATGTGCACGCACATACTTACACACACACACACACACACACACACACACACACACACACACACACACACACAGTATCAGGTCTCCAGTCCAGTCGTGACTTTCCAAATAAGGAAACTGTTGTCAGTGTTGAAGGTTGTCTGCTAACACGCTAACGCCCTTACATGGTGCTGCCAGACAGCTAAAGATGCTAGTGCTGCAGCTAAACAGACTGGCTGGACATAATACACACACACACACACACACACACACACACACACACACACATAGCAAGACCCCCCCCCCCCCCCCAGGCCCATTATCTGGCCCCCCTCCCCATAGGTATTTAATTAATAATTAACAATTAATAGTGATTTATTTTCAACTCACTGTTTTAGCAATGTTTGTTTTATGTGGGAACTATGGGAAAACTGTGGAAATGAAAATATATGTGTGTGTTCAGATTCAGAGTAGCCTACTTTATTCATTAATTTATTCACTCATTCAGTTAGCATGTAGGCCTATATGTGTTGTTATATGTGTTGGCTGTTATTAATATTATATTAGGTATTAGTGAACATGCTAACATCTCTCTCTGCATATTGTTAAGTTAATTGTATTACTTATTTTGTGTACTATTTATTAATTGATTGATTTAGGTATTTGACGTAAGCAGACAGTGTGTGTAACCTCAGCTACTCTATTTATTTAAGAAGGCTTTTATTGGGTCATCATCTAAATGTTGCAAGTTACTATTGGCCAGTGTTAGGGTCACCCTAGTTTCACAAATCAGACTTTAGATGAATAAACTAAAGTCTGATAGCAGACGAGCTCAAATTTGGGTGAACGGGGCGTTTCGTTTTTCTTTCGCTTCATATTTGTTTTGACAAATCATGTTGCTGGGGGTGGGGACCTGTAAGTGCGTAATGAGCAGCCGACGCGGACAGTTTTATCCAAAGCGACAGATACATGTCATTAAGGAGCAGGCAGGGGTTTGGGGGTATCTTGCTCAAGGATGCCTACAGGTAGACTGCGGACATTGGGAATCGAACCCAGTATCTTTTGGGCTGGGAGCCAAACACCCGAACCACTAGACTACTACCCCAGAAAACACATCATCATCATGTTGAATTAAAAAAAAAACTTTCCAAAGATGAAATGCTCATGTTGTTCATTAGAGAATGGATACGGTGAAACACATGTATGTTGTGGTGATAACCCCGGGTCCTCCCATGATGTCATCCCCCCCCCCCCCCCCCCCCCCCCCACACACACACACACATGAAAACAAACATGGGAGGAAGTCACATGACACTTCTGACGGTAAGGGGGCTGAGCCCAGGGGTCAGGGGTCAGGGGCACAACACCCAAAATGTTATTCTCTTCTCCCCTGTTTGTTTAAACTCTGGAAACCACCCATGTAGCTGTGAGGACATCAGACAGACCAGACATGTGCACACATACACGTACACTCACATGCACACGTGCCTGTACGCACACCACACAAGCTCGGGCACCAACTCAGTTCATTTAATTTTAAGATGAAACATAACTACTTTATACACTGTTGAACCAATATATACATAAATATATAAGAACATAATTAGAGATTATATAATTAGAGATTTTGGTGCTCCAACCCTCATCACCCGTTACTCGGTTTTCATAAGCTGCATAATATGCCAACAGACCAGTGGTCGGTCGCCTAGCTAGCGTTAACAGAAGAAAATGCCATCTAAAATGCAACACGAGTCGGGAGCAGAGAAGAAACCACTGTGGGATAGTGCCCGTGCTTCAGCTTCAGGGAGGCCCATGTTAAAGAACGCACACAGACAGTTAACCACCATTAACATTAGTCTGAGTAACATTAGCTATACAGCTACCCAGCTAGAAAACGTCATGAGCTAATGCTAGCAGGCTAAATATCTATGCTATGTGGGCAAATCTTAGATATCTGGGGCAAATAGCTTGCCAGAAGTCAGGTAGTGAAGGCCAGACTATTGTGATTGCTCTGGCACTCAGTTCTCTAAATCCCATCCTGTTATACGGGATGCTGTGCAAATATTTATAATTGAAAAGCATATGCAGAAATAGTTTTTTTTAATATATTTCTTTACTAATTTCTTGTAATATGGCAATATGAATTGCATTCATTTGAAGGTTTTCTTTAGATCATAAGCAGTGTTTGGAATAACGGCATTTAAAATAACGGCGTTATGTAACGGCGTTATTTTTTTTAGTAACGGGGTAATCTAACTAATTACTGTTTCCATCGTTACAATGCCGTTATCGTTACTGAACGTTAAATGCGGTGCGTTACTATTAATTGATTGAATAAACTGCATAATCCGAACGCACTCCTGGCTCCATACACAAACTGCTAGTGAGGAGACCGGGTGGGTTAACAACGAGATAAGCGATTATGATTGGCAGAGTCATGTTTCATGGTAGCCAATCGGAGCCAGTGTTTTTGCACACAAGCCAGGCCACGCGCACCACACACACACCAAACAGATTCGAAGAAGCAGCAGAGATGGCGAGTCTGGAGCAATCCGATGAAAAGTTGGCATTTTCAAGGTGGAGATATAAGCACTACTTCAAATTCATACGCGGTCAAAGGCAAGAACTAACCCAACTTTTTTTTTTACAGTAACGCAAATAGTTACTTTCCCTGGTAACTAGTTACTTTTATTATAAAGTAATTCAGTTACTAACTCAGTTACTTTTTGGAACAAGTAGTGAGTAACTATAACTTTTTTAAAGTAACATTCACAACACTGATCATAAGAAATGAAGGGCCCTATTAAGTTATTGATCATATTAATTGCATGCTAATTTCTGAAATCTATTGTTTTGCTGTCTGTCAGTTCTACAATATTTCTTCATTGTATTACAGAAACACTGACTGCACTGACATGGAGAAGACATGAACCTTCAGGCCAATAGCCTAGTAAGTAAACATACTAACTGATTAGCTAAGGCTAATATCAGGGTAATTCTAAACCCAGGCTAATGCTAAACTCAGGCGAGTACACTGTGGCTCTGTTTATTCACAGTGACTCAGCATCCTGACAGTGTTGACAGTGACTCAGCAATTGGTGTGGAGTGACTCAGCATTTCCCTCCTCAGACACATCCCAGAGGGTTTCTACTGCTCCAGACCTCCTCACGCAGCGCTAATTAGCTCGGAATTTAATTTGACTGAATTGAATTTGATTGAATTGAAATGAATTTGATTGGATTTAATTTAACTGAACCACAAGAACATAGTAAACCTCAATCGTCAAAGCCCCGAAAATGGTCTCCACACTGCACATGTCTTTTTGGGTAATCATATTTTATTTGGTTCTCAAACATCTGTTATTGGTCAAAAAAAAGAAAAAAAGCCATGGCAGTCACACAGGACAAAGTGCACACCCAGACACACACTGACACAGCCAATACAGTCAGGAACATAGTAGGCCTACTATAAGTGTTTTGCAAGAGGTCAGATGGATTTGGAGAGAAAGGGACCTGTCTATCTCCTGAAGTCTGAGAGGTACTGCTGTTCTTCATATATGTACAACATGAAGTAGTTAGGGTCTTCCACTCCTAGTAAGATGTCCTAACCCCTGCTGCTTATGACATGTATCTGAATGAAAGGCACTTTGAATCTGCTAAATGACAACAAAATTAAACAGTATAAACAATGCTTAAAGTATACCCTATATCACTATCACATGTATTATATAGCCTATTATCATTCTCTCAGATATTGCTACAACTTTTGTTTATTACTTCACTATTCACCTATATAAACCGTTTAATTATGCACGGGTGCACATATTTTTACATGCTCTGTTTTATTATTTATTTTAAATAAATTGTGTAAATTTGAACATCTTGTGTATTTTAATTGAAATACATTTCGCTCTATTTGCCGTCTGGTCTGTTCTGCTTCACGCACACATGCAGACACACACATGCCTGTGTGCTTGTGTCACACACACACACACACACACACACACACACACACACACACACACACACACACACACACACACAGCATACATGATTATCATTGAAATCATGAAACGGAAATAGAAACAAAATGAAGACAACCGAAGCCATTAAGAGTGCCATGTGGTATACACCACGTCAACACAGCTGTGAGCTGCCGGAGCAAAATAGATGAATAAAATATTTAAATAAAAATTCTGCACACACAATCACACAGAGCATGTGCATCAACATGCACAGCTTCATCAACAGTGATGCCTGGAAGTCACACACACACTCACATACACTCACACACAAGTTTTCCCACATGTAGTCTCCGCACGTGCACAGTCCTCTTGACTCGGCGAAGGTCCACTGGGTCACCATAGCAACCGGCGCCAAAATAAATCAACCATCAAGACAGCAGTGGCAGCCCCAGCAGGCACACACACACACACACACACTGCAGCAACCCCCCTTTGGACTTGGCACATAGAAACAAATACATGAGTTCTGTACTAAAAGAGTAAGGGGTGAGAAGAGAGGTAGAAAGGAGAGAGGAGAAGTGGGGAGGAGATGAGGAGGGAAAAGGAGAAGAGACATGACTGAGGATAGGTGAGGGGTGGAAAGCAGACAGGAGGAGAATCCAATGGTATTCTCTGTGTTTTGTTACTTTGGATTACAAAATATGACATAAAAACTGCATCCTTGTAACCCCTGTACTGCCAATACTAAGGCAAGCCTGTTATATACACAGGTTGGCATGCAGCAATAACAGCAATACACGCTAACTCCCAGAAGCCTTTGCAGCTGCCTATGGGCATTAGTGTGTAAATGAGAGCTTGTGAGGAAGTCTACAAAATAAAACCGTTGATGTCGATTTAAACAAACGGCTAGCGGGGCAGTCGGTCCCCGCTAGCCGTGTCCCCCTGTGTTCCTGAGTACATCACAGAATGAGGGACTGATGTAGGATATTAACATCACATACGCCCACACATACACACACACACACACACACACACACACAATCCATTAGAATAGAGAAAAATAGCATGTAAATGTCATATTAAATTTTTATTATGTTATGAATTACTGTAACTATATGTATTCTTCTGATTATCGATGGATAGAGACATAATAGCAATATTAGATATTAGTAATGTATTTTGTGTGACTGTAGGCTACTTTGGTATTTTTCAAACGTTGGTTATATAATAGTTCTTCTTTCTAGAAGATTTCTTACCATGAATTTAGGTCCAGGATCTCTCCTGATCCTGGGAAACTATGAAAACGTTGATAAAGAGTCCCTTTTTTTAGGATGACGTGTATTTAGGCACAATGGGCATGATAGCGACGGTATGCTAAAAAAAATATTGCCGGCTGCACTACTCAGTATCAGTAACTGTTACTTGGATACATTATAAAAACATGTTACAAAGACCTATTGATGCTCACACACACACACACACACACACACACACACACACACACACACACACACACGTCTGGTCACAGAAAGAGAACATTCATGAATATTCAGGAGATGCGCCAGACACTCTTACAGCATGCATCTAAACTAACAGTGTGTGTGTGTGTGTGTGTGTGTGTGTGTGTGTGTGTGGAAATAACACTATACACTTGAGCCTGCAAAGTGTTCTTCGATCCTTCACACTCACACTTCACACACTTCGCAAGCACACACAGACACACGCACACACATTTTATTTAACCTTTATTTAGACAGGTGATCTCAGTGAGACACGGGGTCTCATTCTCAAGAGAGACCTTGTACACACACACACACACAGACATGTGATACTTGTAGAGTTTAGTAGACAGTGAATTTTAACACACTGGAAGCTGACCCAGCTGACAAAGGTCAAAGTTCACACACACACACACACAC